CTCTCGAGTTTTATAAAATGATCTCTCGAGTTTTATAAAACGATCTTCGAGTTTTATAAAACGATCTTCGAGTTTTTATAAAACGATCTCTCGAGTTTTATAAAATGATCTCTCGAGTTTTATAAAACGATCTTCGAGTTTTTATAAAACGATCTCTCGAGTTTTATAAAATGATCTCTCGAGTTTTATAAAACGATCTCTCGAGTTTTATAAAACGATCTTCGAGTTTTTATAAAACGATCTCTCGAGTTTTATAAAACGGTATTAATCACTTTATAAAATGATTTTGCGGAAAATAATGGTTCCATCTTTTACAGAAGCTATCGCAGACGTTGATTTCGAGATTACGGTTTTCGACACCAACATTAATAATGGACTGTCTTAAGCGCTACGGAGAAACATCAGGTCAAGAAATAAACAAGCTAAAATCTTCCATAATCTTTGGTGCTAAAGTACCTGAAACTGTGAAAACAGAGATAAAACGAGTACTGGAAATTGATAAAGAAGGTGGCGATGGCTCATAATTATGTTTTCCGGAATGCTTCCAAGGCTCTAAAAAGGACATCCTAAACTTCATTCGTGAGAGGCTTCAAGGCAGGCTACATGGTTGGTTTGCAAGGGCTCAATCGCGAGGAGGGAAGAAGATACTCCTTAAATCCATAGCTTTAGCTCTTCCAGTGTACGCCATGTCGGTGTTTAAAATTCCAAAGGGACCTCTATGATAAACTTACTAGCGCCATGGTGGAATTCTGGTGGAGCTCTGCAAATAACAGAAGGAAAATCTCATGGGTTTCTTGGCAAAGACTATGTCGAAGGAAAGATGAAGGTGGCATGGGTTTTCATGATATTAGCAGTTTCAATCAGGCTTTGCTTGCGAAACAAGCCTGGAGTATCTTGCAAAACCCAAATTATCTGGTCTCTCGGGTTTTAAGAAGCAAGTACTGGAGGAATGGATCATTTATGGAATGTGGTTTAGGTTCGAGACCCTCCTATGCATAAAGAAGCATACTTCATGGAAGAGAGCTCATCGCAAAAGTAATGGTTATGAAACTTGGGGATGGCAAAAATACTAGGGTTTAGACAGATAATTGGATCATTGATCTCTCCCTAGACCTCCGATGTACCTTGAAGATTCTGCTATGGACCTAACGTTGCGTGTTGACGAGCTTTTGATTCCAAATACAGGTTTGTGGGATTGTCAAAAGGTGAGAAGCTATTTTGTGGAGAATGATCCAAAACTAATTCTCAAGATGAAAACAAAGCAGCATCAACAAGATCTATGGTGTTGGGGTTTTACAAAAGATGGAGTATAATCTACGAAAAGTGGTTATAGATTTTGTGACTCGATGAGATCCTCCTCTACGGCTAACACGCTCCCTCCTATCGAGAAAAAACTGTGGAATAGCATCTGGAAGCTACATACTTCACCTAGAATCAGACACTTTATATGGAGAGCCATGGCTGGTGCTCTTGCAGTCTCGGACCGGTTGAGATCGAGAGGTATTCAAGTAGATCCTACATGCAAATTGTGTGGAACTAGCTAGGAAACAATATGCCATATGCTATTCTCATGTCTGATTGCCCAGTGTGTCTGGAGAGAGGAAAAGCTACCATTTCCTCTGAGGGGTATGTCAACCAATTTAGTCTTCTTGAATTTACACTATGTGGTTGCGTGCCTCAGAAAGGACACATGCTCTCTGAGCCTTAAACGGAGCTTCCCATGGATTCTATGGTACTTATGGAAGGCGAGGAATATGATGGTGTTTGAAAGAACTCAGTTAGCTCCATCAGATATTCTCAAAAAAGCAAAGGAGGATGCATCCATATGGTTTGATGTCAACTTCCCTCAAGATGACCCCTTTATGGTTACAGGAGTTCAAGGAAGTTTGAATGCATATTAGATTCCCCCTCCCACAAGTGTCCTTAAATGCAACATATGATCTTCATGGATCAATGACCAAACAAACTGCGGAGCTACGTTGAAGGTAACGCCCTCTTGTATAACAAACGATCTTATTCATATGTTAATCACCAAGAGGAGGCTGAGCATGGCAACCTTCTAGGCGGTAGACTACCTAAAGAATATGCGCTTTAAGAAGATAATATTTGAATCTTCTTTTCGTCTTGTATGAGCATGGCTTCAGTTGGTCTAGGTTGATGATCGTACTTCACCTCATGTTGCTTGCAACATCATCATCAAGCTACAACAAATGTGGAGTTTATATTATGTGGTACCAGAAAGAAACTCTACTGCGCTGAAAATTACGGAGAGAGTAACATCTGACCATAGATACCAGTCCTATATCTCCAAGGATGGCCCTACCTAGCTTCGTCACCAACTGGAAACAAAAGCAAAAGGTTCATCCGGCTCTCTTGTATAAAGACCACATGCGTTGTTTTCTTCAATCAAGGTGTCTCTTTTCCTTGCAAGCTTCGGGGATTATATCTTTTATGTCCCTTCTGGGTTTTACTTCCTCCTTTTCATTACTTTAAAAATTTTGGTTATGAATGTCTGTTGGAATTTTTTTCTTTGATTGCCTATATGGCTTAATAAAATTATAGCGTTAAAAAAAGACATTTCTTAGCAAAAGGAGAGCCAGTTTTTTTTTCTGTTCAAAGACTCATTATTAATTGCTGTTATTATCCACCTTCTCGCATGAACCAATGCTGTCTAATGTTCATTAAAGTTAATAAACTCTAAATTTGCCTTAAAAAAAAATAATAATTCAATTTAAAAAAGGAAAAAAGAATAGTTTAAATCTCACGAGATGCAGAGTGCCCACGAAAGGGCAATAAAAAGCAAAGAATCATTTTCTGCTACTTATAAATTAACGAAGCCGCGCCTCTCTCGATCTCTGGTCTCTTGTCTTCTCACCATTTCCACCAATCACTTCCTCCTCTTTCTCTCTCTCTCTCAGATCTGCACTTACCAAAAATTCTCCTGCTCATCTGCATCCTTCATATCACCATGGTTGGAGCTCAAGAATCTGATCAATCATTTGCAATGGCTGAAAAATTCGACATCTTGTCTGAAGGCTTTGATCCAACGACTGTGGTCCCGGAACCTTTACCTTTGCCGGTAACAAACGGAAGCGGGGCAGATCACGAGGAGAATCTGAAAAAGACGAAGGTGATAAACGGAGGAGGAGAAAGAGAAATGGTTCTGGGCAGGAATGTGCACACGACTTCCCTTGCCGTGACGGAGCCAGAGTCCAACGACGAATTCACTGGAGACAAAGAAGCATACATGGCTAGCGTTCTCGCTCGTTACCGGAAAACTTTGGTCGAACGAACCAAATATCATCTAGGTAAGAACAACAAGTAACAAAACCAATCTTTCGATTCAGGATATGTTTGATGAAAATGATAACATGGCGTAGGTTATCCATATAACTTGGATTTCGACTACGGTGCGCTTGGGCAATTGCAGCATTTTTCCATCAACAATCTTGGAGATCCGTTTATCGAAAGCAACTATGGTGTACACTCCAGGCCCTTTGAAGTTGGCGTATTGGATTGGTTTGCTCGCCTTTGGGAGATAGAGAGAGATGATTATTGGGGTTACATCACAAATTGTGGTACAGAAGGAAACCTTCACGGCATTTTAGTTGGGTTAGTTTAGTTTGTTCGTGTGATTATTTTTTTTTCTGATCTTTTTATTGCATCTTATTTGAATATTGTTTTAATCATTTTTCAGGCGAGAAGTGTTTCCTGATGGGGTTTTGTATGCCTCGAGTGAATCTCATTACTCTGTGTTTAAAGCAGCCCGTATGTATCGGATGGAGTGTGAGAAGGTTGATACGCTTATCTCAGGGGAGATTGACTGTGATAATTTCAGACGGAAGCTGTTGGCAAACAAAGATAAACCAGCGATTCTTAATGTTAACATAGGTTCGGGTCTCTCTTTTAACTAAGTTCGTATTGAGAAAGGTTGTTTATATATTTTTCTTGCAGGAACAACTGTTAAAGGAGCTGTTGATGACCTGGACCTTGTGATCAAAACTCTTGAAGAGTGTGGCTTCTCACATGACAAGTTCTATATTCACTGCGATGGAGCGTTGTTTGGACTTATGATGCCTTTTGTCAAACGTGTAAGAGTACATTTTTCAATCAAATCACTCTGATCATAACATTATTGTCCTCTAAGCAAGCGTCGCCTCTTCACAGGCACCAAAAGTCACGTTCAATAAATCAATAGGGAGTGTGAGTGTGTCGGGCCACAAATTTGTCGGATGCCCAATGCCATGCGGTGTTCAGATAACAAGAATGAAACACATCAAAGTCCTCTCTAACAACGTCGAGTACCTCGCTTCTAGGGATGCAACAATCATGGGAAGCCGAAACGGGCATGCTCCTTTGTTCCTCTGGTACACCTTAAACCGGAAAGGGTACAAAGGATTCCAGAAAGAGGTTAAGAAATGCCTGAGAAACGCGCATTACCTCAAAGACCGACTCCGTGAAGCTGGGATCAGCGCGATGCTCAATGAGCTTAGCAGCACTGTGGTCTTTGAACGTCCCAAGGAGGAAGAGTTTGTTAGAAGGTGGCAGCTTGCTTGCCAAGGCGATATAGCTCATGTGGTGGTTATGCCAAGTGTTACAGTAGAGAAGCTCGATCATTTTCTCAAGGACCTGGTCGAACACAGATTGGTTTGGTATGAGGACGGATCTCAACCACCATGCCTTGTAAAAGATGTAGGAATCAACAACTGCATCTGTCCAGCTCACAAGTAACCGCACAATTTCCTACCATGTGTTTGGTATTTCTTATGTTATTTGGTTTAAATTTCTATCTCCGTTGTAGTCACGAATTTCAGTGTCAAACGTTTGTTAGTTTCTTATAATAATAATAATACAAGTCATGGTTTTAAAACAATGTTTCCTTATGCGTTTTAGAGGACTGATACTAAATAACATAGTAAATATGTTTGCTATAAAGATTTCTACAGAATACAGTAGTTTAAGTTACTACTCTATACACATAAAGACCGATATTGACAGTGAACATATCCGTATAGACGTACAATCAAAGCTAACACAAAACATAATACATACCTCCAATATTGTAGCCCAAATGAATAATACAGTGTGTTTGTGTGACTCAGCCAACATTCAGAACTCAGCCTCTCTTAGTGAAATCGAGGAAGCTTGGCTGCCCGTTTGTGCTCATCTGCTGGTTCTTGTTGCTCCCAAACTGATTCATTGTGGACTGCCGAGATGAGAATTGAGTACAGTTGTATGAATTTCCGTTCCCTCGCGGAATTTCTCCAGCGTCTATCTTGAGTCGGTTCAGTTCTGCTCGCAGCGCTTCATTCAAAGCTGCAGAACATTATCATTTATGTATCAAAACTTTGTTTCTAAATTATATATATGATGCTGCTGCGTTTTCAAAAATGGCTTACCATCCCTAAGTTCAGCCTGTTGCTGCAAGGCTTGCAGCCGCATCTTGAGGTGTTTATTTTCAGTGGTCAGGTCTGATGTTCCTCTCTGCACAGTATACACAGATATTAGAAGGGATGAACAAGTGCACAAAAAAAAACAAAACATGCTATCCACAGAATAGATCGTGTTTGGTTTAATTTTGACATAAGAATAACAGAAAAAAATGAAATGAAGTAGCATGTACATCAATAAGAACCAGAAAACGATTCTTCAAAACAGATCATGAATTGTTGGTTTTACAGTCACGAACACAACAACAAAATTGTAGAGTTCTCTCAACTAATTTGTTTTCTCTCTTCCTTATTTAAGCTATTTTATGGCCATTGTCATTTATTTGTTCCGAGTAAAAAAAAAAAAAAAAAAAAAAATCTCTGAACACCAAGAAGCAGTCTTAAACACAAAAGAATATAGACCTCAATTACTAGTTGAAAGCTACTACCAAAGCAATAATAGCCACAATCAACATATATAGATGGCATGAAGGATGTTACCCTTGACCATGTCAAGGTAAAGATATACCTGCAATATGGTGACTTGGGCAGAGAGTGTAGTTGCTTCATTCTGAAGTGTCTGTACTTTCCTCTCCAGCTCACCAGTATATCTGATTTTCCTCTCTTTTGACCTAGCCGCGGATTGTCTATTTGCCAGAATCCTATCAAGAATCATGCCAAAGAGTTATGAATAATCAAAGAAAGCAAAAAAAAAAAAAAAAAAACACCAATTTCAGAGGATACATACCGTTTAGCTCTTTTGGGATCAAGTAAAGCAAGCTCAGCAAGTCTATCACTCGCCATACCCATATTCTTCTTACCACCGTCTTTGCAATTCACAGCAGCTAGAATCGATTCCATGTTAAAGGAACCCGAACTTGTAGCTCGATCCATCGAATTACTCCGATGATGATGATGATGACCTTTCCGCTCTGTAGGTCGGGAGAGTTGACTACCCTCAGTGGCTGTTAGATCGTCGAAGAAATCGGAATCCGAATCAACTGAGAAGCTTCGAATGTGACGGCAAGGGGGAAGAGGAATCGGCGGAGCACCGTTGGATGAGGTTTCTTCGGGAGGAGAATCGTCGGACATCGGAGAAGGCTGTGGTTGCGGTGTTGGAGCTTTGAGGAAATCTAGAGAAGAGAAATCTACATCGGAAGGGTCGAATAGGAGGAGATCGTTGATTGATTCGCCGGAGAAGAAAGTGTCGGAGCGAGCTCGACGGTGATGAGAGATACGCTGACGTGGAGCTTCTGGCATACCTTCGATTTCGCTTAGGATCGATGACTGGTTTACCCTCAGGGAAGGCTCCATCGCTTTCGATTATTTTTCCACCGACGGAGAGGTTTGGGTGACTGTTAGAGTAGGAGAACAAATCTTGACAGAACAGAGTTTTCTCAAGAGGAAAAAGTTACATCTGGTCTCAGTAAACCTATATTCTCGAAAGTTACCAAGAATAATCTTCAATCAAAATCTTACATTACTAAAAAAATTTGAATAAAATCAAGGGAAATTGCATTCTCTACACACCATTAATTCCCTATTTAGGTAAATACCCAAAGTTAATGTATTGTACTGTTGAACAAAAATTAATGACACAATTACCCTTTGGTTAACTAAAAAAATAAATTAAAATCTGATTACTCTCGGTGTATCTTCTTCTCCATCTCTTCCTCATTTCCCTACATAATAGATCCTCAACCTGAAACATATATAATATACAGACATACATATCTTCCTCCCATCTTCTGCGTCACCTATCTTCATCTTCATCTCCACATTAAAAAAGATAGTTTTTGATTATCTGATTCATTTACCAATTAGGGTTTATTGAATGGGTTCTGGATTTTCTTTCTTTAGCAATAATTCATCATCTTCTTTAGCAATAATCTGTTAAAGGCTAGTCTTGGTGATTTGCCTATTAAAGCTTGGTCTTCCCCTCTCTCATAACCCCAACTTCTTTTCCTTCACCGGAACCATCTGGTGGCTCCGCCAAGGCCTAGGCGGTCTCAACACCTACCTTCGCTCCGTCCACCACCGTCTCCGCCTGATCATCACCCTCCGCATCACTTATCATCCCTCCATCTTTGTCGCCGATCATTCCTTCGTTCACCCAATTATTATCCTAAACGGCGCCGTTTTGGCTCATCCTTCTCGTGTGAGATCTCCCGTGTGAAATCAGTATATCTCTTAGGGTTAAAATTGTCAATTTATCCTCCTTTGTACCAAAATTTTATTGTAATAGGTAGATTGTTAATATCCAAGTTATTTTAGTATATTGAGCCAATTGACTCTAAAATCAAATTCTAAGATGTCCACATCATCTCATAAAATTAACCAATTTCATTTTTCTTTGCAAACAGAAAAAAAAAAATCTCAATCATTAGTTTACTAAATCGCAGCCGATGGCATACGATACTCCTCTTTGTTTCGTTCTCCAATTCACTGGCTAAACCAGAACGTCAAGTATTTCACTATATATCTTCATCTCCTTATTTCCCATCTTTTTCTTGAATACACCGTTTAAGCTTCATAATATATACTTATATAGTCAGCACTCTTACAAATCCCTTCAGTTGAGAGAAGCCATTGGTGTGGCCATGATACATGAAGACAAGCAAGCACAAGAAGGGACTGGCTTGGCTGAGTTACATGAACTTATGGATGAGCTAGAGAAAGTGGAGCCAATTTCGGATCAGAGTGAAGACTCAACTTGGCTTGAAGAGCATTATGATCAGGAGCAACAGAAGGAGGATCAGCTTCAACATCCAAACCAGGACACATTGACATATGCAGCCGGACCAGTTACAAGATCAAGAACCAAAGCTCAGAGACAAGCTCTCCTATGCCTTATTGCCAACGTGAAGAAGGAGCAAGAGATAACCAAGCAAAAGGAGTTAAACCACTAGTTTAATGATTTCTGCTTTGTTTTATTTCGAACCAAAGACAAATTTTTTTAGGATTAAACAGTAAACCAAAGTTAGTTAGGATTAGGAAATTAGATTAGACTAAACCAACTTGGTTTAGGATTAGGACTTGACGATTTCTTATTTATTTGCACCCAGCTGTAAGTTGTTCATCATTCAATACACAAAACTTTCAGCAAATAGCTTGTCTCGTCTTATGTTTTCTTTGTTCAGCTAAAGAACATCGATCTTCACTCTAAAGAAAAGAATCTCCTTGTGAAAACCATCTTAGATAATACAGGGTAAACTTGTGTCTTTGAGTAGAAAAACATCTCTGATCCGTTCCATAGATCCAGAGAGAAGATCCATCATCTAATTTGAGTGTTAGCAGCCTCAGATCAACCTTCTTTCCATCTACCTTCAAGTGATCTAGGACGCACAGCCATACCAAGGCCATACTAAGTGGTATCAGAGCCACTTGAAGGTTAAGGTTTGCGTGTACACTCAGATCTCAATCCATCAAACACCTCTTTTCTTTCTATTTGTTGTAAGAAAGATAGAAGCTATACACATCCTCAAACCTTACAATAACCTAAAATCAAACGCCTGTCAGTTGATGAATCTATCAATCGTCAAATTCCTCAGATGCTATGATGTATATACAATGGTAGAATTATCAAATTTTCTCTGTCTATTTTTTCTATTTCTTCACATTTAGTTTATGATGAATCACATGGAGGAATATACCGTCAATGTAATCCATCTGAAACTGTCATGATCATCGAACTCGAGCTTCTAATCCTTGGTGAAAAGGTGCCCCTTCCTATTTTCCTCATGTTTTTAATATTTTATAAAACCTGTTATATATATAGTCGATTCACCCACTATAAACACACATAAAATACTTTGGTTTCTGCATCTTGATCTGATTGTTATTATGTTTGCAGAGTTTAGAGTTTTGATATCACTCATATTACCGTAAGGAGTGAATTACTCTCTCAAATAAAAGGTTCAGAGTAGTACTTAGGGATCGAATCCATAAGGAGTCTAGGATTACACAAAATATTTAGAGAAAAGTACTAGAATGATACACAAAAGCTTGTATATGACTAGAATAATATACATTTTCTAAAAATTACTAGAATGTTTTTGTGGGAACCGAAATTCACACTTGTCGATTTCCGTTAAATAAGGAAACTTAGGAAAACCCTAATTTTTCAGAGGAACCAGATCTCTGCGAAAGCCAACGACAAGTAACCAAATAAATGCGGAAAAATATGAAAAACGTAATAAAACAAGGGCCATCAGCGAAGAGCGTTACGATCATTTACAAGGAATTACAAAGGCTTTGGCCGCAAGGGCCATCAGCGAATTACAAACATAAAACCCTAAATCTAGTCGAGTCACAGCTCGATAACGAAAGACAGAAAAAGATAAGAAAAAAGGTTTGATTGATTTCGGACTGAACATATGAAAGGCTGCCTACGTACCCCTTTCGAGGATCAAGTCGAACGTAGTTCAGTTGATAGAGCTGGACCAAAGATCAAACTGCCTGGGCGAGTTCGTCTAGTAATTGAGCACCAGTCATAGAAACCGAACTTGTTGAGAAAAAACCTAAGTTTCTAAGTGCGGAAAATTCTAAGTCTAGAAAAGTTGTAAAAGTCTCAGATAAGAGCTCTGAAATTCGTCCCTTTGCTTCTGCCCTATGCCTTTTGCTTATATACTCCCTTCCTAGGCGGTTTAGTCTTTCCGTTTTGCCCAGATTCGAGTTCAATGAGAATCTTCCATTTATCTCGATCTTTCCTTTTTTCCCGCGGAAATCTTCTATTTATCCTCAAACTTGACTTTTATCTTCAAGATTGACATTTATCTTCTTTCTGCGAGTAAATCGCCAAAACGTCGTCGTATCTTCGGGTTGGACTTCGTTTAAAGTCGCGAGTGGCTTTTATCGCATTTTATGACTTTCCGAGCCGTTTTGCGATAAATCCGTTTTACGACTTTAGACGAGATCGTTTCCTGATACGATGTCGTTTTTAGATAAGTTTCTCGAGTTAATCGTAAAGCTAAGCAATGTTTGATGTTTCGATTAATCGTTGCAGTTTTCTATGATTTACTCGAGGTTTTATTAAAAACACGTTTTGTACGATTTTTACGAAAAATCTCGAATAAATCGTATAGTTTAGTCAATATTCGGTGTTTCGTTTAACTGTTGCCGTTTTATACGATTTCCTCGAGTTCTTTTCGAGAAAACAAAGTTTTACGGTTTTTATCGTAAAACTCGAACGATAGGACGGATCGAGACGAAACGGGAAACATTTCAACCGTGATTCGGAATACGATGTGTCAAAGGACGTATGCCTTGAATCAAGGATGTGGGAGATCGAGGCTCGGGATGGTCGGCTCGACGTACGGTGAGCTAGTTCAGCTTGGCGAGGTCGCCATATGGCGAACTAGGCGAAAAGAACCAGTGGGGCAAAGTCAGTAGTTCGTCCAACGGCTTAGTTCGCCGGTGGGCGAACTAGTCAAGGGTCTCCTAGTTTGCCCATCGGCGAACTAAGCCAGCTTTGCTTAGTTCGCCGGTGGGCGAACTAGTTGCGACTAGTTCGCGTTTTACGGCTGTTTCGGTTTTTCGCGGTTTCGTAAAACGATTCTCGAGTTTTATAAAACGATCTTCGAGTTTTATAAAATGATTCTTCGAGTTCTATAAAATGATTCTTCGAGTTTTATAAAACGATTCTTCGAGTTTTATAAAATGATTCTCTAGTTTTATAAAACGATTCTTCGAGTTTTATAAAACGATTCTCGGGTTTTATAAAACGATCTTCGAGTTTTATAAAATGATTCTTCAAGTTTTATAAAACGATTCTTTGAGTTTTATAAAACGACTCTCGAGTTTTATAAAACTGCTTCTCGAGTTTTATAAAACGATCTTCGAGTTTTATAAAACGACCTTCGAGTTTTATAAAACGGCTTCTCGAGTTTTATAAAACGATCCTCGAGTTTTATAAAACGATCTTCGAGTTTTATAAAACGGCTTCTCGAGTTTTATAAAATGCTCCTCGAGTTTTATAAAACGATCTTCGAGTTTTATAAAACGATTCTTTGGGTTTTATAAAACGATTCCTTTTATATTTCTGCGGGGAGTTTCGGCCGTTGATTCCATCGTACCGATTTTGACCCCAACTGTTAGCCCCCCAGCTCGTAAGAATCTTGAGCTTTAGCGTAAGGTTCTTGCGAGTGGTTAACCAGTTTAGTTAAGTTAGGCGGAATTAATGGTCGGAAAGGTCCATTGAAAGTGATCTTTCCACTTTACAGGGAGCGGAAAGCGTTTAAAATTAGGGCTGCTCCTTGTGACGGCTGCCTACGTACCCTTTTGAAGGGATCAAGCCTTTCGTAGTTTGTTTCGGA